AAATTTGCGACAATTGAGCTTAAGCTGAACAAAATTATTCATTTCCTAGAAAATGGAAATGAACGAAATGAAATACAAGAAGTCGACTTCTCTCTTTTACCGAATTTCCCTCTCAGTACAGTACAGCAAATAGATAATTTCAACAATAGATTAGAAGATGCGAATGTTCGACGACTATTTGTAAGTATTTTATTCTTTATAAATTAAAAGGCTTACAGCAACAGTTACTTTATGGCTTGATGGCTTTAATTAATTACATTAATAAAAATTAAGTAAATTATATTCAGTCATCTAAATGTATAAAAGTAATATTATATTTTATTAATTATATAATAATTACTATTAATTATTGATTTAAGTATGTATATATACGTCATACGTCAGTTTTAGCAAAAATTTCAATTAAGAACATATCCATTCTTAAATAAATGAATGTAATTATCATAAAAATGTAATTAAATTTATGTTTTTATTAATATAATAATCATATAGTGAAAATTTATTAAAAATAATTAAAAGTATCAAGATTATTTAAAAAAATATATAAATTAAGCAAATTATGCAATAAATAATAATGAATAATAAATGCGCACATACACATTTAAAACATTTAAATATACATTTGTTACAGATGGTAAAAATGTCACAATTGGGTGAAGAAACTGTACCAAAACTTGTAAGGAATATAATGTTTCAAATTTTTTGATATGAACTTGCACAGGCATACTCATGGACGGGACAAAAGAAGAATAAATCAGCATTCAGAAAATCAAAATTAGCCGATACAATAATTGGAATATCAATTTTGTACGATTACTTTTTTAATTATTAATGGATCACGTTAATAAATTACGACATGTCTAGAAGATAGACAGAGATATTCTTACTTGCTCATTCGCTCATTTTCACACTCGTTTATTTTGTCACTCGCTTATTCGCTCAATCATTTATTTGCTCACTGGATTACTCGTTTATTCGCTCACTCATTTTGTTTCTATCTGTCATTGTCATTGTCTATGTCTTTGTTCTGTTTCTGTCAAAAACATAATCTGAAGAAACGTAGTTTTTTTTTAAATAATTATGTTTACATAAACTTTTCCAAATTCCTCTCATAAATTATGATATTTCCTCGGCCGAGATGTGCTTGAAGAGATTTATGCTTCTTAAAAATTTCCTCTATAAGAAAAAAAGAACAACCGTTCCTTGTAATCCCGTATTCGATCTGATTAAGTTGCGTCGCTTGTATCTATTTGCTGGACTCGTGCCATAATTAATTAACGTTAAAATAATAATTAAAAAAATAATCGTACAAAATTTTCATATCGAAATTTGTCTCAAATTTAAATCAAAACATATCTGATTATGTGATTATTTCGAATCACATTGTACACTTATATAATAATAAAAATATTTGTATATAAGCTAAATTCTGATATTCACTGCCAGTATTGAAAATCTATAATATACGTGTCCTGAACTATATTTAAATATTTAAATATAGTTTAGGATACGTCGAAATGCAGTTATATTTATATCGATTATTTTATTACTTCGTTTGTAGCCATTGTTTTAAAGAAAGATTCAAATACCACGGTAACTGAAGTAAAGGGATGTATGCAAGAGTGGTTGCGACGATCTGGTGACAGATTGCGAATATTACAGAAATAGGTTTTTTATATATAAAAATGTATTTTTATAGTTTTATAAATTTTATTTAAAAGTTTATATTTCTAATGTTAATAGTTAATAAATATATATTAAATAGACGAAAATAAATATAAATAAAGCTTTGTAAAGAATGTCTATTTATTGTCGACTAAAAATCGACGTAATCACCATAACCTGTATTAAATAATCTGAAAGTCGACTTATTGTCGGCCAAAAGTCAACCTCGTCGCCATAACCAAGCAAAATATGTCGACTTATAGTTGTCATAAAGTCGACTTTAAGTTGACTGATATGGCTGACTTATAGCCGACTATAGTCGGGACATTTGTCGACTATTAATCGACTATAAGTTGACATTCAATCTAATTTTAAAGTCGACTTTAGACTTTTTCTGCCGACTTATAGTCGGCTTTGTGTTGTTTGGGATACCATCCATATACAGGCACACACGACATGCGTATGTGTAATAAATAATAAAAATTAAAAAAAATGAAATTTTACAAATAAAGAATAAAATATAAAACATGCAATAAAAAATATAATAAAATCTTTTTTATATTTCTTTTATTATTTTCTGATTAGATATATTTCTATTTTTAATATAATAAATAATTTTTAATATAATAAAATAGTGTGTGTGTGTGTGTGTGTGTGTGTGTGTGTGTGTGTGTGAGGAGGAGGGGCGCATGTGCCTGTATATAAATTTATATCTATTATCGCGTTTACACAATGACGTTAAACTGGTTTAGTAACAACCGTAGTTAGTGATTTCTTGTATTTAATTGGATCACAATTTTAGATTTAAAAGAATGTACCAATCTAATGTGAGATTTTATTAACTACAGTTGTTACTAAGCCGAATTAACGTCGTCGTGTAAACGTAGTAAATTTTTAGAATGATAAACGCTAGTGGCTCGACATTAGAATCATCAAACGAGCAAATTTAGAGCCGAAATAAAAAGATGATTGTAATAGAATCGTAGTCGTAGTCATAATTCTAACGCAATTCTTTGTGCGTTGGAATTATGACTACGATTATGTCTGCGACTCTGTTACAACCGTCGGCCTATTCTACAATGCATCGTCTGTCAGTGTCATGGGCTGTAGACTGTAAGAATGGGCCAATTACAATCAAGTATTCTTCCCACATTCGTCTGTGATTGGTCAATTCTTGTGACTTGCGGCTTGTAACACTGACGTATTGTAGAACAAGCCTTAAGGCCATATCAGACTAGCGGTTGTCCGGTTGCCGATTAACAATTCTACTATTACTAATCACATTGAGTAACCAGGACCTGCTACATTGTGATTGGCTAAAATAGAATCGTCAACCAGCAATCGTAACTGCGCAATCGCTAATCTGATATGACCTTTAGGCCTTTCTACAATGCGTTGTGTGTCGGTGTCAGTGTCGCAAGCCGCAAGCCACAAGAATTAAGTCACAGAATGTGGGGAGAATACTTAATTGTGATTGGTCCATTCTTACGGCCCACGACCCACGACATCAATATATGACGCATTGTAGAACAGGTCTTAGGCCTAACTTGGCGAGAATATAGCGCGAGGGTTAGATGACTGCCCTTGTCTATTATTCGTTTGATCCAAACTCCGAGCAAGAATTTTCCTTCCTCTTTCCCTCCTTCTCTCCGCGCGGAGGAAGAAGGGAGGGAAGAAAAATTCTTAATAAAAAGTTAATAATAAAAAGTTTTCCCTGCGTACGTCTATTCAGCAAATATTTTTCAACATTCATAATAAAAGTCTATTATTAAATACAGACAATATATTATATACAAATATATACATATCACATATTGTTAAGAAGGACTAGTACATTTTTTAATTTAAGTGCGATGTTTTTTTCTTCGAAGCCATCGTTAGGAATAAATAATCATTATCTTTATTTTTGTATAATTTTATGTCTCGCAATAAACTGTTGCGGTTCCTTTGTTTTATTATTAAGTTTAAATTTCGTGTGCATTTGACTGTACAGCATACGTATGTAATCATTAAGCATGCAAACGTGATCACTGCGCATACTTCGCTGTATTATGTCGGTATGATAGATTTTCTAATAAAAAAAGTGGTCAACTTTAACGCTTAATATCGCGGTTCGTGAGGCAGACCGCCGCGTTTTTCTGCCAATTTTCTTTATTTTGAATGAAATTGCATCGATTGAGCTTAATTTTATCAAATTATCGGAGGACCATATTCTAAATAATTATCAAGTGATCAGTAATGAGAAAGAGAGAGAAAGAGAAGAAGGAGAGGGAAAAAGGGAGAGAGAGAAAGAAAAAGAGAAACGGAAGGAGCAACAAATGTGAATGTTTATACTCACGTATGACTTTGCATAACGATCAGTCGATTCTAACGATGACACAGGTCTATATCGAATAACTACTTAAAAATTCTTCCACTTTTTTTATACATTGTATTATGTTTCAACACATTCATGTAGTATGTTCACTCACTTGATCAATTAAACAAGGAATTTATTAATAAATCAATCAATAACTAATTATTCAATATATAAAATCACTAGTAAATCACTTGTTCACTATGCAAAAGTTATTTGAAGTGACTACTGTTCCTTATAATGATTTTGACTCCTCATGAATCGATGCAGATCACGAATAATTAGCAAAAATAATGTGTAAAGCAAACTTGGCAAATAATGTAACAAAGTTCGAAATGATAGGAAAACAAAACGCGAAGCGTTACAGCCGTTTAAAAAAATTTATATAGAAACAAAACACATCAACTCAACTCAGAGATCTCAACAAGACTATTCGAAAGAAACACGTGTTTACTGGACAATGGACTGTGTTCAGTCACAATGGCTGCGTTCCAGCAGCATCATACGCATTATTTTGCGCCCAAATGGTCGTTCCGCAAAGCACTGTACACATCATTGTACATGAAAGCTTACTCATAACCTATATCTAATGACAATTGCTTTTATTTCAAAAAATTTTCAAAATAATAATTTACATAATATGTTTAAAGCAACACAATCTGTATTAAATTAAAAAATTCTGAAATTGATTAATTAATCGACTTATTCGAAGATAGTGATAGTGATAATGACTGCGTTCCGATATTCACTGCCTATAAGTACTGAAAATATATAGTTCAGGTCACGTATATTATAGATTTTCAGTACTGGCAGTGAATATCGGAACGAGGCCAATGACAATGAATTTGTAAAATTTCTTTCTTCCGACTTGAGCGATGATTTGATATTAAATATAAATACAATTATCCAAGATAATAAATCTGATTTAAATAAAGTTTCTAAAGTTCAGAACTACGTGAAAAATGTTGTTAATTATTTAAATGCCGATGACTTTAAAAAGCACTTTCGGTATGTAACCTGAAAAAATAATTTGCAATAAATATGAATATTATATTAATCAATATAATATTTGTAACCGTATATTTGTATATATAAGAATATTGTATATAAAAGAATATAATTAATAACATTGTGTTAATAGATTATATCCAATCGTTCGAAAGAATTTTATTATTAATTGGTCCAATACTGGAAGAAAAGAATAGCGAATTTGGAAACAAATTAATTCCAGCAAAAAATCAACTATTAATGTCATTATAATTTATAGCTACACCTGAAAGTTTTTGGTATAATTTTATATTAATTTGTTATCTCTATTGAATACAATAATCTAAAAATGCCGTCTATTAAAAAAATTGAAGAAAATATGTATAGTGTACTTAAAGTTCAAGATAAAATAAAATTTTCTACTTTATGTATTCTTATTAATGACTTGAATTTAAGCCGAAATGTTTATAATGTATTTCTTATTGAATACAGGTAAATTTTCCTAAAACTATGCTTGACTCTCATTATTTTCATACATATTTCCTTCAATTTTTATCTCTATTAATCATTTCAATAGATATAGACTAATTTTTGAATAAAAAATATATCAATACAAGCCAAAAATATGTTAATAAACAATTGAAAAAGAAACATAGTATAGCTCAGAAGGCAAGATTTTAAGCATTTCATTATACATATGTATATGTAATTATACATATGTATATGTGTACGAATTAAATTCATTGCTTATATAATACTATCTTCAACGCTTTGCAATGTAGCGGCTTTAAATTGAATTAAATTTAATACCGATTATATGAACCTCTTCTTTTATCCCCTCATAAGAAATTCTGATTGTGAAAAATATTATTTCAACCAGAAATCGAACCTGAATCTTCCACTCTTAGACATTTTATTCTTTGACTACTAAAGCTTAATTTTTGTATGCAGATCAATGAGTGATATGTTTGGAGTTGATAAAACAACTTGCTTTCGAGCATTAAGGAGAATCATATTTGCTCTTTTTCAAATTGCACATCAATTTATTCAATGATAAAAAGCTACCGAAGCTATTGGACAAAAAGCTACCAAAGTAATGAATGATTTTTATAAAATAAATGGATTATTGGAGCTATCGATGGAACACTCATCGAAATAAATAAACTGAAAATGATGATGATTATATTTGCCGTAAAGGATACCTCGCTATTCTTTAAATAAACACAAAGTTTTATACTATATATATGTTAAATTTACATATTATACAAGGCATATTTTAAGTATGTTATAACTTTAGCGGGCGATTTTTTTAATTATTTAAAGTTTAAAAGCCTTAATAAATATAAATTTTAAAATCAATAGCTGATGTATAAAATGTTCAAATTTCTCCAAAAAATCATTTTCTTAAATATTCAAATATTCAAATTATCTAACATATATTCATAACATTTGTGTGAGCGATCTATCTAATGGATTTATATCTAATGGATTTATAGATATAATGTAAAATATTTAAGTAAATGTTTTTTTGAAATTTCAACTTGTATTTCAGGCAGTTTGCACTCAAAAACTATTATTTACAAGTGTAAGTAGGTCATGCAGGAGTGTTATGTAATTCACAAATAAATGACTATATGGAGCAACCAGATGTCTACTTTCCTGATGAAAGTTACATTGTAGGAGATGTTGCATATCCTATCCTATTTAAATTTAATAGTGCTCTTTAAAAATAATGGCTATCTTACTTGGAAAGACATTAATTCTTGTCTGGCAGCAGTTCGCATAATAATTGAAAGAGCATTTGGAATATTAAAAACAAGAGAAGAATGTTTGATAGATTGTCATTTGTAGATTTAAAAAAATTCCTGAATATATAGTTGCTCCGTCACAATATTTGTATTTTAAATAATGATATAATAGATGATATTGAAAATAATATTGAAAATCAATGTCATAATACATTTGAATGCATGCAAAATGCAAATATTGATGCTGTTAAAGCAAAACATAATATGATAATGAACAATTTACAAATGCGATTTTAGTTTAAATTTGAGTTTTTATAACAATGTTTTATAAGTTATAAGTATTTGAAGTATTATAAGTGTTATAAATTATTTTATAATTTTTTAAAGACATTCTAATTACTCTCATAAGTTCTTATAAGTTCTCAATTTCAACATTTATAAATTTTTACAACGTAATGTAAAACGGTTATATAAATTTAATAATGCATTTTGCATTTGTTTAATTATGACAATTTATCAATGAAGAATTTTTTGTGATCGTTTACTCCAAACATAAAATACAATGTTTTGTATTTATTTTTTAATTTTAATAATTTTTAATAAAAAAAGATATTTTAAGTAATAAGATTGTACTTTCTTTACATTGTGACGTGGTGCCATTCCTACTATGGGACGAGCTATGTAAACGCAGCACAATTGGCATCATACTCTCAGGCAAAACAAGCATTGCTGGACACAGAATATTGTAAGGAAAATATTGTATTACACTTTGCAAAGTTCTATGATTTCTGGTTTAGTCACCATTGCTGCTTCTATGCTGTAGATATCGCTAAAACAAGAATCTAAAATATGAAAACAATAAATGGCAAACCAGAGTTTACAGGTGCAATCGATGTCCTGACTAAAGTTATAAGAAATGAAGATTTATTTGCATTATGGAAAGACTTCTTCCCATATTGTACATGCATGTCTAAGGCCACATACGGTCCTGACGTTTATTTTCCTTGAACAAATAACCGCTGCTTATAAAACATACTTGGCATAGTTGCAATTGTGTGCCTTTGCAAAAAATTGTTATTGATAATTAAGTCTTTGAGAATCTTTGAGAGTCTTTCAGAATCTTTATTTTTTTTTTATCATTTATCACATATTTTCAGAAGCATTATTTTTATTATAAGTCCATTTTTTAGCATATTTATTATCAAATGTTACGCACATATTTGTAATGTTATTTTATAAATTCTATATAAACATATAGAATTTATCCGATAAAAATTGTATCCATAGCAGTTTGTATAAAATTGTTCATAAATTTTTAATTTTTGGAGAATGCATTTTTGTGAAGAAAGTGAAGAATTGTATAATATAAAGATGAATTTTTATTTCTATATAAGTTTATGTGTGTACTCACAAAATTTTTAATCTGCCAAACAATTTAATATATAATATGCTAAAATGTTTTATCATTATTTTATAGAAAAAGAAAGGCATTATACTCTATGAATGTACAAATTCGGAGCTCGCCTGATACAAACTCTAGTCTAGGTGTATCATTCGAGTTAGCCTTTTATATCACATTCGAATATTACTTTATTATATAAAATATAAAATAAAAGAATTTCATTATTATAAATAAAATAATCAGTTCTTCAAAACTTAGTGTACTCTTAATAAAATTTAAACAAAAATTTACAAATAAAAAAAATATTAATCAATTTCAAAATAACAAAAACATTTCGTTTGAAACTATAATATAAAAAGAAACAATGCAAATTTATAAATATAATTAAAAAATTGAATAATATTTAAAATAACTTAAAAAAAAGTTGTACTGTTACTTTTTTGTTGAGTATAACTTTATCATTACGTTCAATAATTTTTGTTGCATGTTAATTTTTCCTTATGCATCTGAACTCTTTCCTCTCTAAATTTTTCAAACATTTCAAGTTTTTTTCTTCTCGCATTTTTTTCCTTATAACGAGCTTTAATTTCACTTATTAATTCATCTAAGAGAGCTTCTCTTTTCCTTTTGGACACTTTACGACTTGCTGACGATGTTAATGATGACGTTGAACTAAAATGATGAAAACTGACTTCGATCAGCTTTTGAAGCCAAATTTTGGAGTGACCCATGTTCGATTGCCAAAAATATCAATATCCTATTCCTATCCATATCCTATTAGAAAAAAATTTTTAATATTTTTTGTAACTTTCAATCTTTCTATAATTTTCTCTCTTTTAATAAAATCATACAGTTCTTTTAAAATACCTCATAAAATGACCAATTTTTTCTGTTGTTGCCAAATTTATTATTATGATCTTTGATATTTTTATAAGTATGTTTTAAATAAGCAATCTTATTGCTGCACTGAATTACAGTCTTCCGTATCTTAGGATTAATTCTATTTATTTCTTTGGCAATAATTTCCCAAAATTGTCCTTGTTTCAATTGTCTCTCTTTTTTAAGTTATTTTCTTTCTCTTTGTATATTGTTAAAAGGAGACGAGTATTATTCGACGCCCATAATGAAATGTTTCTTTCTATGGAAACGTTTTTAAAAATTATGAATATATTATAGTAAAGAGTAATAATAATAAATTTTTTATAAAGTCCTACCCATGTAACACATGGACGCAACACGTCCTTTGGACGTCCGAAATATGTCCTGAAACGTCCCATATGTCACGGTACACTGGATGTCTAAAATACGTCCCAAGGACGTTTGGATGTCTTATAATAAAATTATTTATACAGACGTTTTAGGGATGTCCAAAGTATGTCGTCAATATATCCAATTTTTCAACCCAGTTCATTTATAATTTTTTTATAGTTTTCTTAAATAAAATTGAATGAGTTTGTTACATATATTTGTCCTACGTCTAAATAATAGTTCTGAAATATCTATGTTTATCGTCTTATAATTGACGTTTATAGGACATCAGAAGGATGTCTTGGAAATGTTTTATTTTCTAGTAATAGAAATCACTATAAAATTACCTTTTTTTTAAAAAAAGATAAAAAAAGGGTATCAAGTATAGTGGATTGCCAACTCAAATGATTGTGTAAAATTTATATAAAAGATTGATATCAATAATTGGCGCCAAATTATAGTCTTACAAATATGAAGCTACAAGTCCATTTTAGTCAAATTATATATTTCAATCGTATAAAAGATTTGATAAACCTGTTTTAAAAAAATAAAACTCAAGTAGTAGTTTCTTTAATTTAAAAATAATAAAAATCAAATTATATGTATATCTTTCTATCCATTAAAAACTTCTTTTTCTAACCCAAGTGGTAGTAATTATTTAGCTTTAAAATATTTTTATATCACAAAATTACTCAATTACTCAATTTACGTTTTTATTACAAAGAATTATAAAGTAACAGTATAAAATAAATGATAAAAATTTTTATTTAAATAAAAAAAATTTTTATGTAAAAATACTTGGCGCTGCTTAGATCAAACGAAAATGCAAAACTAATGATGAGATTATTTGAATGTTACAAATAAAGGCAAAATTTATTATTTAACTCAAATGGACTTGTAGCTTCATGTTTGTAAGACTATAACTTG